TTAATTTACTATTTAATCAAGTAGAATGACTTTGTCAAATGTACATTGATCATAACTAAATAATTGACAACATAATTCATGATAATATTGTTCAAATAATTAAATAAATCAAATATATATTGAAAAATGACGTGTCAAACGTACATTCATCATAACTAAATAATTGACACAATAACTAATGATAATATTATTCAAATGATTAATAAATTAAATACATATTGAAAAAGAAAAGTAGTGTATTATTGAAATAATTAAATGTATATCGAAAAATGAAAAGTAGGGTATTATTGAAAGTATTGAATTATAATAAAGATAGAATCGTTCAAAAAATAATTCTCCATATACCGTATATGCAACTAACATGCAATTTACCGTATATGCAACTAACATACCGGATATGCAAATAACATATAACATACCGTATGTGCAATATACCGTATATGTAACGTACCAGATATGTAACTAACATATCGTATATGCAACTAACATACCAAATATGTAAATAACACACCAGATAAAACTGGAGGACTAGATGAGTAAAAATTGAAAAAATGAACAATAACATCTCATTGGTTACTATTGCATCTACAATAACGTCAAAGTGTCTTTTTTATATAGTAGTGAGACACATTTGAATTAGAGCATGTTTGGCTAAAATTTAAAAAAAAAAAAAATTTGAGGTAATTTTATACCTTTGAATATGTTATATTAATTTTCTAACATTTAATAAAGACGGAGTTACTATTCTGAAAGTAACTTCGAAATTTCATTAAACAAAATGACTTAAAAATCATTTTCAATTTTAACCAATAAAAATAGTACTATTTTGTGGTAACTTTTTAAACGAGGGCCTACTCTCCTTTTTAAACGATTCTACACATTTGACTTGGAGCATGTTTGGCTAAACTTTAAAAAATTAAATAAAGTAACCTTATACCGTGAAATATGTTATATTAATCTTCTATTTAACAAAGACCGAGTTACTTTTCTGAAACTAACTCCGAATTATCATTTAAAAAAAAAAAGTAACCAACAAAAAATGTACTTATTTTATGACCTGCTTATGTAATCTATAAGTAAACTCTCCAAGTTTAGCCATCCGCCAAAACTCATAATGTACCCAATTTAGGGGTAGAAAAAATAGATAATTGCAGTAATTTAATTTTGTGAAAATTACAAGCAACCAAAGTTTTAAACTTATCAATTCAAAATTAAGATTTACAAGTTTTTTTTTTTCAAAAATAAAAGATAATTAAATTTTTTATAATTAAATTTTTATAAAAATAAAATTAAACACCCATTTTCTACCCGATTCCAACTCCCAAACAACCAAACCCAAATTTTCTCTCCCTTTCTACCTCTCTATATTTTCTATCTTTATCCATCTCCTTACCCACCCCCTCTCTATTTCGATCGGCTGATCGCTTATTGAGCGCAGTGCTCCTCCTGCAGCGGTCGTGTTGGAAGATGATGCGCCTAGCGCAGCATCGCGCGAAGAGCGCCAAACCAGTTGTTCTGGTGGTGCAGCGCCCCCTGGAAAGGTGGTGCATCCAGCAGGGATCACACGAAGATGTAATGAGCAAAGCAACACCATCGCCGAGAACATGTGCTCTGCACCACCACCAGATCGTTGCTACGCTTCGAGATTCGTCTGGCTGGAGCAAAAAAAGAGTGAGACTCGCCAAGACCATCGTTGATTTGTGTTTCGCAAATGTCGGTGAGGCGATGGTGTGGTGGTGGTTGTGTTAGCGATGATGGTGAGGTGGTGTTGGTGGGTGTTTTTTTGAGATGGTGGACATGGTGGTGGTGCTATTGGTTGTCATGATGCGAATGTAGTGGCTCTGGCGACGACAGTGTTAGCAACGGTGGTGTCGGAAGCAGTGAGGAGGTGTTGGTCACAAATGGTGGTGGTGGTCACACGTTATTTGATTGATTGTGATCATTAAATTGGTTAATATGTGATCAATAAATAATGCGTAGCCTAAAATTTTGTTATATTGTGATCAATAAGTTGATAATTTGTGACCAATTAACTTGATATTTTGTGACCTTAAATAAGTTATGACTTATAAATTTTGTGATTTGTAACAAATGAATAATATGTGACCTATTAATTTGATAAATTTGTAATTTAAAAATGACCTATTAATTTGATAAATTTGTGATTTGTGATGGTGAGGTCTGTAATTATGATTAATACACAACTCTTACTGTAAATTATATAATATTGTGACTTTAATATATTTAATTAATAAATATAATTTTAATTAATTATTTCACAAATAAAATTTAATTAATATCTGATTTTTGAAATAATAAACCTCATTTCTTAGTGTTGAAATATATCATACTTAATCCTTAAAGGGAACAATACATATCTCAGCCTTTTACTTTACACCATTTCAAAAATACAAAAACAAGTTTCAACTTTCAAAAATCAAGTTTTTTAAATTTTAATTTATGAAATAATAAATTATTAAATCAATTTATTATTACATATTTAATTCTAATATAACATAATTACCCCACCCCATCCCACCCCACCCCACTTCTATCGCTTCGGGGACTATTCTGACTACCGTTCCGATCACAACTCTTATCCGGCGATCGTTCCGACGATGCTCCGATTTCGACAACTATTCCGATGACCGTTCCGCCGTCACTTTATTTCGGCGACTGCTCTGATTCCGACAGGTGTTCCAACTCCGATGAATATATTAAGGTCATATATCTATGCAATTTGGTCACAATTCAAAAAAATTTAAGTCACAATTCAAAATTTTCATAGATCACAATTTGTTCATTTTGTTCATCGGTCACAAATCACAAAATTCATAAGACACACTGCTTATTTTATGGTCACAAACATCACATTAATTGAACATAAATTATATTTAGGTCACAATTTATTAAATTATTGATCATAAATTTATAATTTTTAGGCCACTAAGCATGTATTGGTCACAGTTTATCTAATGCATTGGTCACAAATCAACCAAATTATTGGTCACAAACAACCTATCATTTGTGATCACCACTTCGCCACTACCTCCACCAGCGGCACCACCACCGTCGCCGCCTAATAGCAACATCAACATCTCAAACAAATCAAAACCGACACCCTCCCACTACCACTATCACCATCCCCAATAACCACATCCACCACAAAAAACCACACTACTTCACCATCATCGCGACAGCAATGACGACGATGCCACCAACACAGTCGTTTCTGAGCTCCAACTCACCATCCCAAAACCCCAACAACACCAAAACACGGAACCACAACCACCACTAAACAAACACCACGATCTCAAAACACTAAACAACAACAAACTCGTCGCTAGATCTGCTATAGCCAACCACAAAAATCACTAGCATTATCTAGAAATTGAATCTCACCGATCGGGTACCGTCATTGGAAGCGAGAATTGAATGCATGAGGGAGAAATTGGAGATGATGATGGAGAAATTGGATGGGCAGGAACGAAGCAGCGTCGAAGAGGGATGGGACAATTGATTTTAGGGCTTCTCAGTCTACCTGGTTTGACAGTGTAGAGGCGGACGATAGCGTACGAGGTTTGAGGCGATGAGACCACTGGATCTGCAATGCGATGCTACAGAACACTGAACAACGGCGACGCTACTGAACAACGGTGATGCTACAGAACAGCCGCGGGCGCGATGAGTGCTGCGGTTTGGGTGGAGAGACGGAGAGGATAATAGGTAGAGTCAGCGACGGTGAGAATAGAGAAGGTGGAGGAAGAATCAATTATTTATCCGACGATAGGAAGAATCGTCGGTTGTAGTGGCGGCTGCGTTAGCAGATAGAGTGGAGAGGAGATGGGGTTTGATTTTAGGGTTTGATATTAGGGATATATGGTAGAGATGATATATAAATTAATTTATATTGTATATAGATATAAAAATAAAATAAAAAATAAAATTATTAATTAAAACCTGATTTTTGTATTATAAAACTTGATTCTTGATTTGTGAGAAAGAAAATCTAAAATTAGGGCTCAGTGTAATTTCCTCATCCTTGAATGTGAAATATTTTCTTTATTGTTTTGAATAAAGTAGTCCAACAAATAAAGATGAGAGATTTTGAATGTCTGGTATCAAAACAGGCCCGGCTTACCCATGAAAAGCCCAGAACAAGACTTATGGCCCAACATATCCTGACCATTTGTGTTCAGACAAACTCAGGCCAAGACCCCCCATTTTCTGCCGGGATTCTCCAGGCCTAAAGGCGACTGGCCCTGTACGACAATGACGTTTTGACACCCATAAGGCCCTATTATTTATTAAACGTATATTTTATAAGACTTATAACTTTTCTTTATTTTTTAGTTTTACATTTCATTAACTTTAACAAAATTTAATAATAATATGATTTTTAGCAAAATTAAATGTTGGTTAAATGCTACTTTGATGCGCGTAGACTACATGAAACCATGGTAACATCACGATGATATTGTTGGCATAGAGCTGGTACTTTCTAACGTGGCACTGTTCACATATCTTCAAGCATATTTTATCGATTCAAAGTGTGTCGGCTTAATCTTAGAGACATCATCAAAATTTTCTTCTTCTATTGCTTCAAGGTTTCTCCATTTTCTCATTTCCATCATAATTCAAGAAAAAGCTACGAGTAATTGATTCTATAGTTTTTCATTATAATGAGTCAATGACAAACTCCAATTGATATATATAGCGAAACACAACACGTTTATAGTAGTTCACTCTCAACGTGGGGAGCTACGTCCAATTGATTCTATAGTTTTTCATTATAATGACAAACTCCTCCTATAATCATTTAGTAAAGATACTATGGTCACCTAATACAAGTACATACCACACATATTATGTGTGTAGACTACACATTATACCCAATATAGCGGTTAGCAAGGCAATTGAAGGGATTAGTGAACACTCTTTACCACCCGATATGCAACTACAATAAAAAAAAACGAGGATCAATTTACTCCCTTTTAAAGTTTGGGGACCTTTTGTCTACTCGTGCAATAAATGAGGACCATCTGTTCAATTTATCATTTCATAAAATGGCTTGAAAAAGTTCCTTGAATCTTTCCAAATTAAGTTTCCTTAACCTTGCAGTTCACCCCCTCAACATTTGAATATTAGAACTGAGCCCCTAGCTTAAATGATAAATTTGCCTTCTATAATGGGCAGTTAAAGTTTCATGTGACTAAATGAACGATTCCATCTACAAAATACTCGAATTTTAATGGATGGTTCCAATCTTTGAAAACTAGGACCGGACCATCTGACGTCCACCTAATCTTGAACCTAATACTCTTTAATGTGATAGTCGAAACTTTTTAAGTAAATTTTCATGCGTGACATATTTGTCAGGAAAAGTAAGTTCACTTTATTCTTTTTTTTGCGAGCAGGCAAACATGCTCTCGGTGCGTTACTGAGATATTTAGGAAAACAAATTATCAAAGAAAGGAATCCACTTACAGTTCTGTAGAAGAGAATAAGAAAAAGAAGAATACAGCATCCCAACACATTATTTTGTGTTTAATTTGAAGAAAACTTTAATAAAGCAGAAAGAAATATTCTACAGTCGATTATGACAATTGTGATTATGACAATTGTGGCAACATTTTTACCTAGGATTCCTATGTTGGTATTACATTAAAGGATTGTTTTCACACTCCAAAAATAACATAGAAGAGTAAATCTATGTCATCAACCATGAGAAGAAATGCAAGATCAATGGGAGAGGCATATAATGGGATTGTTCGACGAATGGTAAATCTCCCTCGAAGCTTGCTAGGAGGATTTTCTCGAGCAATGGGGCAAGGAATAGACCTCGTCACACAAGGACGACGAAGAAACTACTATCAATCGCCAAATTTCCCGTCCCAAAATCCGCATTATCCCAGAGCAGATCCATTAGGCTTCCCTCCAGAGGGGCCTCCTACGGTTCAAGAAGAATGGGCTTTTCTAGCTAACTTCGAGCAGCAGTATGGTACACTGCACCCCTTTTTCTACGCCTGTCGATTCGTGGAAGCACTAAAAATAGCTGCTGATGAGCATAAATTCTTGTTCATGTACATACATTCACCAGAACATCCATTTACACCCCCTTTTTGTAGGGAGACTTTGTGTTCTGAGGTGGTTGTACAATTTCTTGATGCAAATTTTGTTTCTTGGGGTGGACTTTCCAATGGAGGGGAGGGTTTACAAATGGCTACAACTTTAAGGGTTTCTGGCTTTCCATTTTGTGCAGTGGTGGCTCCGGCTTCTGGTGATAGTTTAGCTGTGCTGCAACAGGTGAGTTGATTTTTTGTCACTATTAATTATTTTTTCAAAACAGTTCAGATGTGCGAGAATTATCTCTGAAACGGTTTCGACAGTTAGACTACTTGTGAGTAGTGACATTAAATTCATGTAGTCGATCCTAAATTTAGTGTTGGGCGGAAATTTAATAAATGCAAAAGTCGCTCATTTTGCCTTCACTTGTGTAGATGGAAGGTCCAGTCTCCCCTGCTGAATTGGTGGAAATACTACAAAGGACAATAGAAGAGCAAGGATTGGCTTTTGGGAGTGCTAGAGGTAAGGAGGAAGAAAAGAAAAACGCCGATCGTCGATTGAGGGAAGAACAGGATGCTGCCTATCTTGCAGCATTGAATATAGATCAGGTGCATACATTATTTATATTGTTCAGTCATGTCCTGTAATAAACAAACACTGAACGTTATTTTTGTTTAGGAGAAAGAAAGACTTAGAAGTTCAAGTTCAGGAAATAAAGTTTCAAAACATGTGGACTCTTCAAGTAAACCAAACCAAGAGAAACCCAAACAAAAAATCATGGAGAAACAACATAGTAAAGTGAAAGAAGGCAATGCAAGTGGAGGAAAGAAGGCTGAAGTAACACAGGTACATGGTTATATCCTAAGGGCTTGTTTCAGCGCCCCTTTTTTTCTTTCCAAAAATTGCATTTTGCAATACTGTTCAAGAATTCATTTTGATAAAAAAATGAGGTTCAAACAAGGGCTAAATATAAAGAACACATTTGGCTAAGCTTCGGATATGTTACCCCTTTTTACTATGATACTTGTACAGATATTAATACGATTTCCAAATGGGGAGAGGAGGGAGAACAGTTTCTCGTCGACAGATAAGATCCAAGAAATTTATCGATATGTCGATTCATTAGGCCTTCCCGGAGTTGGAAATTACAGGTTGATATCAAACTTTCCTAGAAAGGTTTATGGTGTTGATCAAATAGGAATGACTCTCAAAGATGCAGGCCTCCATCCTAAAGCAAGCCTCTTTCTAGAGCTTCTTTAGTCTTATGTACTATGCTGATGTACATGGATTCGAAACGCTTGTTGGGATCTGTTAACCAAGTCACTGTCTATGAGTCTGCGCTCGTTCTAAGGGATTTGTTGTCAACCCTAGCTAGTGGCCTACCACTATAGGGAAGCTTACGAATTCATGTTCTATCTCAAAGTTTAGCTCTAGTCGAATGAGCATTTGTAGTGCATTGCAGCTGGAATCTCATAATTGCCGTTTCACTTTCCCTAGAAGTCAATTTGCTGCAATAATTTGTGCTTACTTTTTGAACTTTGTCTCGAAAGGATAAATTCTCTCTTGCTCAACTTTAAAATAAAGTCATATCTACAGGTATAGATTCGGACTAAACCGTACACGTTCGATTTTACCTCTCCAAGCCCGGCATGGCTCGAGACGAGCTAGTCCACAAGTAAATTTGTATAAAGTGAGTTGTGGGACTTGTGTCGACCTAGCTCTCCACGTCCACTCGAGCCTTATCTATGATCGGCTCACGTTTATCAATTATTTATAAAACTCAACTTTTTATCTACACATTTCAAGGATTTTAGAAATATTAACCTCTTATTCATTACTCAATTTCACACCAAGAGTAAATTGACGCAGGACTTTTCTTTTCCACGGGATTATGCTTCTTTCCCATGAATAATCGATGTGCGAAATTATTGTGAATTGCAATTTTTATTTCTCTTGAAAAAGGTCAAATATGAATAAGAAGCACAAAGAGTCGAACGGTCCCGTTTAGAAATTATTCTTAATTGCCTGCTTAACTCGAAACAAAATTTTTATTTGTCTTGATATAAATTAAAAAGGATTGAATATTTAACTTCTCCAACTCTACCCTGATCGAAATGTTTGATCTGGTCAAGTACACATCGATCACAAACGAAGGCTCGACTAGAGCCAATCCGTCTAGGATGGAGATAGACGAATTTCACAAATCTCAATTTCATTTCTAGTCACTTGATCCAAATCGAGCAATTTCGACAAGATCCATATAGAAATTGTTCCAAAAAATAGTTTATTTATATAAAATCATCATACTACTTTTATTCTCCATCAAAATTAAATCTCAATTAATGAGTTATGGGCCAATGTACACAACATTCAAACCAAATTTAGTGAGTCAGAACTATTAAATGGTCATAATGTAACATTAACTTCTTTTTCCCCATCAACTAATGTATAGACTATGGCCAAGATAGAACCTACCCTCCATAAATACATTTCGTTACACAATATCATATTAAATCAAAAAATATAATAAATAATTTTTTTTTTTCCATAACTCTTGCTATATTTAGGCCGTGTTTGATCCAGATTCTTAAAAAAAAAAATGCATTCTTTCAATACTCATTTTCAATCACACAATTTTCAATAAAATAATATTACACGTAAATTCAAAAATTTCCCTTATTTTTTAACCACATATTTTCCATCACATCACTATTCAAATAATATAAAATAATTATTTAAAAAGTAATTGACCAACAAATCATACTTTACCCCCTTGTTTAATCTTCTTTTCATCCACTCATTCCTCAATAAAATAATATTATAATGTAATCCTAAAAATTTTCCTTCATTTTTAATCACATATTCTCCATCAATTTACTATTCAAAAATACATTGTATAACAAAAATGAGGCTCTGACACGTACTTAGCTCCTGTTTGGTGAAAATTAAAATTCAGACATTAATTTAAATCAAAATTAACAATTAATTTTAACCATATATTTTATGGGTTCCACAATTTTTTTAAATCATTTTATCAAAATCTACCAAAAATCTGATTTTAATCCTCGAGCAAGGGTATAATATTGTTTTGCAGTCCGACAATGCACTTTAGCATAACTAATTTTTCAGTCATACATTTTATTAATTTTTATTAAAATTAAATGAAAATATTAATTATCAATATTTTGAAAGTCGCATGGGTAAAAGAAATAATTAAAAAATAAACATGTAAATATATAATGATGCATGTTTGGCAAAGCTTATAAGCTGATCGACTCTATTTTTGCCCTCATTCTATAAGACTCGTCTTATAAGCCATGCCAAACAAGTACTCTGTGCCCACCGCTACGCATGTATCGCCACCGAAGTCTCCATACTGTCAGTACATCTCTCTCTTTCACACACACATATTATCTGATACACAGACAAGAGGCTAGAAGCAACTGATAAAATGGCGTGCTGCCTGCGGTTGCGGCCTCCAATCGGCCAACGTTTCGATCTCGTTTCAATTAATTCCAAGAAGAACATTAAAATTGCGAAGCTTAGCATTCGCAATTGTGCTGCAAACCCAGAAAACACCGACAAGGTACACTCAATTACATTTTCGTGTTAAATAAACCACATTGTTGTAGTTGTTGCTGCTTTGACGATGATGACGACCATGTTTGTTTCTTTTTCTGTATTTTTCCCGGTTTATTAATATTTGATTGCTGAAAAGAGTTAGCTGATGACTGATGAGAATGAGAAATCGAAAATGAAATTCATCTATTGACAGCTTTGTCCCTAGGGTTAAATTGTTAGAAATTATACGCGTCTTGTGTTAGGTGAACGCTTTGTGGGCATTGAGCAGCCGCAATTAGATGGCTTTTTCATTTTTTTTCAATAGTGTGTTTTTCCATAGATAGAGCATGTCTGGCTGAGCTTTAAAGTTTTACATATAATTAAGTAAACTTAAGAGAAGTAATTCCTTTCTTGATTATAAGCATAGATAAGTTACTTATTTGGACAAGAAGATGAGTTTAGCCACCGTTTGATCTACATTATTATCTCATTAAAATGAAAAATATGACCGTTATCCATCACATCAACATTTAAATTCAAATGTTCTACCTCTGGCCCCAATAACGACTATATTTTTCATTCTCATTCTACAATAATTTGGCTCAAACAGGGCTATTTATTTTAGATGAAAGTAAGAAAAACCTTATCTGTACATGTTTGGAAATGAAAGTATACTTAAAAGCTACTTCAACTTACTTTCAAGCTTAGCCAAACGTGTTTGGACAAGCACCAATATGTGACTTCTATTTGTGCCATACAGGCTACTTAGGGATCATAAGAATACCTTAGGTTGTAGAATAATTAAAGTGAATTGGTGTTATTCTCTAGAGAGATCTGATCAAGGAGCTTTAATGTAATATGTGAGAGGTCTGAGTATTTATTTTGAATATAATAAGTTGAAGAGTAGTACTAAAGTTTTTATCATTGTACTTGTTAAGGAGATGGCTACTTATTGAAATCATTTAAAGCAGAGCAGTAATCTGAATGCAAAACGGGTCGAATTTATATTTATCCAATCGTGGATAAGTTAAATTACTAAATACTTACACTTGTGAATTATCATCCATACACTACTTCGTCGGGGAAATCTTCTTTGCTGGCACAACACATCTCCAGTGTGTAATATTTCATAGCTCGCTGCGCATTTTCTTTTAACAAAGTAAGCAAATTCATTTCAAACTAAGTTATTTTTCGGACCGTAACAAGGATTTCTAGGGAAGGAAACAACCATGCTAGACATAATTATGGGTGTGTTTGAGCCACATTATTTTAAAAGAATCTATTTTGGAATAGTAGATTGATGGAGAATGTGTGGTTGAAAAAGAAGGAAAAATTATTGATGTGATGGAAAATATTATTTTATTAAAGAATGTGTGGTCGAAAATGAGTAGAAGAATAAGAATGAAATTTTTAATGTGGCTCAAACAGGGGCTATATATGAGTTAACCACAAGACTTAGCAAAAAGTTAATGTTCATTCTTTGAAGTGTATGATGTAAAACTTAAATGCGCCTATTGGATTCCAAGGTTAAATAATAGAACATGTTCATTTTAAAAGTGCTGAGACTTCTATTATGTAAGGCAGATACAGACAGAAGATAATAAGCTGGAGAATACTTTTAAATAAATCCTTCATGATGAGTTATATCAAGATTCTATCCTTTATAGTTTCTTTCAATATATTTTGCATACAGTATCTTGAAAAGGAAATGTTTGTGCACACCTGAATACTTTGATGGTCTAATGGGTAGCCATGCTTTGAAATAATGCAGCTAGTGGTTGAAGTCAAAGAGAGGCTAGAAAAGGAACACAAATATCTCCCTGTGGGCAAAAATGGAAGAGATGATGAAGAGTTGATCCTGTGGTTTCTGAAAGACCGGAAATTTTACGCCGAAGAGGCTATCTCCAAATTGGCTAAAGCCATTGTAATTTTGATATAGTCTCTGATTATTCTACCTCAATTATGATCTAATAATTTATTTTATAAGCATCCAGTCTCCTTGTCTAGTAAATGTGGAAGAAGTTTGTCAAGATCCCGCATCCGTTGCTTCCTTTTTTTTTTTCCTTCAATTTTTGGTTGCTTATCAATATTTTCTTTTGCACCGAGAAAAGCCAATTTTAAGTGTCAACAAGCCTCAGTTGCACTTCTCGCTTGATTGCGGTACCACTGTTCAACTTACAAGTTTACATTTTCTCAAATGATGTTAATAGCAGATATATTTTGATAATGTATATTCTCCTAAAATTTTCTTTCTGTTTTGTCAGAGATGGCGTCACGAATTTGGTGTGTCAGAATTGTCAGAAGAATCAGTCCAACATGTAGCTAAAACAGGAAAATCCTATGTGCATGACTGTCTTGATATATATAACAGGCCAGTGCTAATAGTGGAAGCATCCAAGCATTTCCCTGAGGTAGTTCTGCATTGGTCAATATTGTATATAAAACTTAAAAATTACCTACCTAAGTTACTGACAGAAAATCAGCTTTAAATTATAGCCCTATTTCTTGCAGCGGAAAACTTCCTTTCAGCTGCAAAATATTTGAGACAAACTTTTCAGTTCTTTTTCTTTTGGCCGATGAACTTTGTTTTGAAGTACGTTAAATTTAACTTGTATTACGATAAAACTCCAAATTGAGAAACTTTTACATTCTTCTAACTCTAGAAGTAGTTGTCCCCTCAATAGTTTAGGTCAATGATAATCAAGCTATTAGCTGCTGTTGGTAACTGCAGTGTCGAAATACTTCGGGATAGCAACCTCTATGCATAGTGCTTAATTAATGGCAGTCTCCTTTACTTTTCCCTTTCATTCTTCTCTACATGCTTCTCTCTATTGTACGGTAGCATGTTGCTGGGTTCTATCAGCTGCAGGCTGGTTGCTTAGCTACTGCAGTTGGCAGCTGTTGGCTGCTGCTATTTTTCTTTACTTCCACTTTATTTCATTAATACTAAAGATTTCCATTGAGTATGTCGCTCAGAAAAGTAATATCAAGGCACGATAATAGCTGGATGATATATTGGTGAATTGATTATAAAACAAAATGAAGCAACACAAATTACTTTCCAGAATGAGAACCAGATACTGAAAGACTATCTTTAGCATGTCCATTGAAACTTTTTATTTTCTTTCAACTTAAATGTTTTTTTATAGAATCTACTTCTGTTTCAAAATTTTAGACTTTATGCATGGTTAAAGTTGGGCAATTCCCATGTTTCAAGGTTTTTATGAATTTTTTGAAGTATCCATTTTGAGGCTTACGTCTATTAAAACATGGAATCAACTCTATCTTGTGGGCTTTGGCCATCATTGTCAGGAAAATGTAGTAAAGGGTTATTCTCTACTTCAGCTTTTACCACAATAGTAAAAAATATACTCAGTTTGTGGTCTCTGTACATTCCTGTCACAAGATGGATGTTCATTTCTGGTTTACAGTGTGATAGTCTTTTGTCACGAATCTAATTAGCAGAATTTTCCTTGCCCTATGCAACTACCTATGACATTTTGAAGAGCCATCAAGATGAGGAAATGTATATGCATCTTCATTAGTTCCTTGTGAAATTTCAGTTCTTCATTATTGAGAATTGAACTTGGATATTGATGGTATTCTTCGTATTCCTTTACGTAGGAGCATGAACATCGTGAAGATGAGAGGCTCTGTGTTTTTCTGATTGAGAAGGCACTGAGAAAACTACCAGATGGGAAAGAGGAAATACTGGGAATATTTGATCTGCGGGGATTTGGGATGCAAAATGCAGATATTAAATTCCTAACTTTCCTGGTAATTTCCATGGCCTATACTATCAGCTGGCAATTTTTTTCACAATGATCGATTGAAATTTTAATTTTATCAGATAAAATCATATCAAGGGTTGGCTAAGAAAATTGAATAAAATTTTATGGACATTTCTTTACTTCCTCTCTAATGGGCATACACCATACTACCACTATTGCTGTATCCCTGCTTCAAGAGAAAAATGATTTGCGTTTACTAATTGCACTTTCACTGATGACACTACAACTGTTGCATTTTGTTCCTTCATATTTACTGATAATCACTTAATTGATGCTGTCAAAGGTTGTGCCTTGGGCATGTTTTGCTAAGCTTAAAAGTTGCTTTCAAGTGACTTTTTTTGCCAAACACGTTTGAGGTTTTTTAAAGGTTATTTATTTTTTTTGATTTCAGTACAAAATTTTGCTTTTCAAGCTTAGCTAAACATACGATGAAATTCTCAGCTCCGAAGATTTCTCATTTTTATTGTTATTGGTTGAATCTTCATGTTATTACTCAATGAATTGGTCTGTCAATGTTCTTCGAACGTTGAATTGCAATAGCAGAGTTTCCTACCAACAGCATAATGGATGATGTAAGTTCACTTTCTCCATTTTGAACAGTTTGATGTGTTTTACTACTACTATCCAAGGCGATTGGGTGAAGTCCTTTTTGTGGAAGCTCCTTTTGTATTCAAGCCAGTTTGGCAGCTGGCAAAGCCGCTCCTAAAATCATATGCCTCATTGGTAAGGATTACCTTATCTATTCAATTCTTGGTTCTGAAAGCTTTTTCTGTTTTGTGTTATTCTACACTTCTACATCTAGGCTTCTGATTACTTACTCTGCTGCTGCTTCTTCATGCTGTTATAGTTTGACCTCAAAGCTTCTCTTGTTTTTACAGGATTAAGAGAGAAATACTTAAAATTAACTTTTGAGCTAAGCTAAACATACGCCTAACTTAAAAATTAATTCTAAGTAGCTTTTTTAACGAAAAGTAATTAACTTCTTGACTGACTTTTCTATTAATTAATGTTACTTTGACCAAAAATGCTGTAAGTAGCTCATTCCGAAATTGATTAAAATGAAGAGCATTTAATATGGTTTATTCTTGCTTCTCCAGTTCCCATTTTATCATCATATGCAGAATGTGGAATTTTTATTATGCCATCACTTTTTTCTTTTACCAGTCACCTCTTCCTTGTGATTCTATATTTCTTTTCGATTACATTTTCATTGTTAAACATCATTCTCTACGTGTTCAAAAGCATATGCAACTGGCATTGCCAAACCTCATCTCAATACTGAGGTAGTCTTCAACTCATGCCTAGACTTTGAGATCATACTATCATGTTGTAGTCCGAAGGGCTATAGGGTTTTGGGTCATATTAAGAGAAGTGACTCTCCCGTTGAAATCCATATCCGAAATTCAAATATACAACAAATGAGTTTTGAATTCTACACCAAGGATTTGCTACTCTTCTGATATTCGTTTTTCTTTCACAAGTAGTTCCTTCCCTGCTCCAGTACTCAAAATTCAGTGCCGACTTTAGGAACAAGCATGAGAAGTTGCTCGTTTTTATCATACAAAAAGTCTTCTCTTGCTTCCTCACTTTTACATGGTTTGATGTGACTCATTGCTAATGTTTTGTAGGTGAGATTTTGCTCAGTAAAGACTGTAATGGAGGAATATTTTACAGCAGATACCATCCCTTCTAACTTTAAAGAATGAACATACAAAGATGTGCAATGGAATGGAGGGCTTTGATAGTCACGAATATGGTAAACATTATAGAAAGTTAATCTTTGTTTAAATAGAAACTGACAGTATACTGTAAGTATGACCAGTATTTGACAAAATCACTGAGAAATAATAGACCAGCCTGTCAACATGTCATTAGTACCTTAAACTTGTTAAGGTTAGAGCTAAACTTTAAATGTAAAGCTTCATCGAGAGAAAAATTTCGACTAAATCCATCTTAAAAGGGCATGGGTACCCTTTTAATAAACTATGAAGCGAAGGATTAAAAACGCAGCAAATACAAATATAGGGGAAGGTATCATTTCCTTGATTTTCAATGTTAAAATGCCATTCTCTTGCTTTTTCCAACTTGCTCTACCACTTTGAAGTTTGCTTTTCTTTGAGGACGATTGGTGGAAAATGACCCTAACCTTTTCCCATTTTATGTATTTTATCCAAAATGGTTCCAAATCTTTACATTCTTGGCACAATTGATCATTTTGAATAGATTCCATGTAAAAGGATAGTTTGTTCAACATTGCACTTCTTTTAAAGATAAATTGTATGTGTAGTCTTAACTTTAACGAAAGTAATATTCTTTGTTCTTAACCAACTTTGACAAAAGCAACTTAAAATGTAAGAATTTATATGACAAAAGCAACTTAAAATGTAAGAATTTATAATAAACATTAAATGAATGCAATAAAATGAGAAAGAACAAAGGTTGAGTCCCCAATTTCGACGTCCTCGAATCTTAAAGAATGAGCAGCAGCATACAAAATTTTATTTTTGTTTCCTATATTTTGAAATTAATTTATAATTAATTTTTTATCTTATTTTTTTAGTGAGAAAAAGTATTATAACATCCACCAACTTTAAAATGTATATAATACTTGATAATATATTAATGTAAACTTGTTCTTTTTTTTATTGAAAATAATCAAATTTAATGGAATAAACTAAAATGTAATAAATTAATTTTTTAAAATGTCAAACCAAATGTATTTTTTAATTTTCTGTTTTGAGAAATAATTTTTCAAAATAATAAATCAAACGTTTTTTAATAAATCTTAAAATATATCATCAAAACAGAAAATGAATTTAAAACTTAGCCCCTATTTGGGTCACATTATTTTTTCATTCTCATTCTTCTACTCATTTTCAACCACAGATTTTTCAATAAAATAATATTTTCCATCACATCAATAACTTTTCCTTTCTTTTCAACCATACATTCTCCATCACATCACTTAAAAAAAATGTATTCTCTCATTTTAATATGTACCAAACGGGCTCTTAAAATTGAAAATCGAAACACAAATCAAACGGACCCTAAAANTGTAAAATGCATTTTAGAATAGTATATTAATAGAGAATGTGTAATTAGAGTCTGTTTGGGACACATTCTTTTGAAATAATGTATTATTGAATAGTAGATTGCTGGAGAAAATGTGTGGTTAAAAATGAAGGAAAAGTTATTGATGTGATGAAAAATATTATTTTATTGAAGAATGTGTGGTTGAAAATGAGTAGAAAAATGAAAATGAAAAAAATAATGTGTACCAAACAATGCCTAAAAATGAAGGAAATCGTTTTGAATTGTGTGTAATATTATTTTATTGAAAAATATGTAGTTGAAAAGAAGAGAGATAAAAATGTATTTGGAAAAAAATTGGGGATGAAACAAGGTCTTAAATGTAATTTTTTTCGTAAAATTAAATAAGTTACTTTCTTTGCAAGATTGATCATTTGCCATAAGATAAAAAGCTACTTTTACATCTCTTTCTTACCAAACGTTCTCTTAAACCGCGTCTTTTTAACCATCGCTCTCCGTCCCTCCATCCCTGTAAAAATCTCTTCGATCCCTTCTCGCCACCGTTGTCGTACAAATACACGCACGCGCTGCCGCACGAACGTAGACACGCACACGCACACGCACATATCTCTCTCGACTCTCTCTCTCTATATCTCCACATATCTATAAATACATCTTTATATCTGCTTTTGTTGGGATCACAACTCGCTGATCGGAACGTTGTACAGATACCACGCCCTCTCTGGTTAGTTCTCTATCTCAACATCTAAACATATATGTTATACTTTTATTCCATTTATTTAATAATATTCACCCAATTTTCACTCAAAATAGTTAGGGTTTCAAAAAATCTGGTATTTATATCGTAATGAAAAAGATGGAGACAGGCATGTGTATATACCTTTTATTTTTTAATTTTCGAGTTTTCTTTCGTAGGTAACATGCGTGAAACATGGTGCAGTTATAAATTATTTGCCGTCGTAAATATTTTGAACTGGGTTTTTATTTTTTCTGGCTAAATGGTTATTCACTGCAAGGGTTTAAAAAACAACTACTGCTCCATGGAACCAGTGCATGATATACAATTGGCTAGAAATTGAGTTCACACGGCACAATGTTACCAGGGCCGGCCCTGTGATTAGCCCCCCTCCCGGGGTCCGCCCCCGAAATTTTTTTTAACTAAGAGACAACGGAGATCAACGGCGGCCCCCCTAGCTCCGTCTCTGGCCCCCGGAGATCAACGTAAACGCAAAATCCAACCGTGCATTATGCAACGTATTGCAAACTTAACACTGACTCGTAGAACAACAAACAAATATAAAGAACAAAAGATAAACGTGCGCCTGTGCAATTGATCCTACACGCTACAATGAGCATTCATACAAGCCGACCAGGCCACAATTATATAAGCCGACAAGGCTTCAAACATTTTCAATATCAAGTTAGAGCAAGCCATTGCTTACTTGAGAAGTAGAAAATTCACGAAAATTGTGGAATCACGCCTATTCCAGCATCCAGCGTTGCATCTCAGTTCTTACGAGCCTGAAATTGAATCATTCACATATAAACAACATATTAATCAATGCATATGGATTATGAGAAACCAAAGATTAGTGAAGCCACAGTAACAATATCATCACGTAACATAATCAAACACAGTAAGCCACCTATCCAGGAATACCTGCCTAGCTAAGCGAATTACTCATTGAAATAATATCCCGAATGCTATGCCTGTANAGACAAATCACGAAATGAGAAATCCCCAAAACTGAAATCGCTGACTTACCAGTTACCAGCGCCAGCAGAAGTTGCAGAACTCCAGGACTAGAAGAGTGAAGACACACACGCCAGTCGCAGACTCGTAGACCGTAGTCGCAGTCGAAAAATGAGTTCTTGCTGAATGCTGATTAGATTTCGGGAAAGCTGGAAAATGAATGCATTGGACTTCTGGAGACTCCGGTAAACACCACTTCGGCGTCGGCTTGGAGAGCAGTTGATTGGTGGTCGGTGGATTCGAGTTGGACAGTTCAATAATTTTGGAGTTTTGAGAACGGGAAGGAGAGAGGGGAGTGATCGTATTCGGTGTGTGCAGTAGTTTAGGACTTAGGTTAGATTTGGCCTTTGGGCCTCCTGAATTGGGCCTTGTATCATATAAAAAAAAAAAAAAAATTGGGCCAAAAATTAGGCCCCCTCCACGCTTGGGCCTGAGGCGGTGGCCTCACTCGCCTCGCCTCAGGGCCGGCCCTGAATGTTACTGAAGATACATAGGATTTCTTTTAGTTTTTAAATTGATTGTGTATATTATGCAACTCTGTTTATTATTGCTGTTCACGTTCTGAGTTTTGATTAATATGTAATTTTAAGTTGCTTTTTCTAATTTGCAAAGTAGGCTCGAGGTTCTGAACTTGATTGATGGAATGAGATACTGAACCTGATATTTGTGTATGCATGGTGCATTGCAGTGGCTATAATAAGATTTTAAACTGGATTTTTTTTGATTTTGCTCTCATCGGGAAGTTGAAGCAGATATTTTGTTCTAAATACTTGTATTGATGCACGGTACTTAAATGCAGTGGCTATGCTATTACTTGTGATACAATATATGCTGATATTGCTAATTTTCTACTCTATTTGGTTAAGGACAAAAGACAAGTGGCATTAGTTACATTGTTACCACTAGCCACAAGTTAGGTATTGGGAAGTCACTGAAAAGACTTAATTTGGACAATGAAAAGCATTGTTGAAAAGGAATAACAGTTTACATAATGAGGTTATGTACTTTCAAATTGTGATGTCTGCTGAGCTGGAGGCATCTTACTGTTATCTATTACCTATTCTCGTAGAGTTAGAAATAAAGATCAAATTTTAAGTGTTTTGTAGAAAAATTAAGAAATGACCATTCTTTTTATACAAGCTTGTGTTCATTTATCTATTGAGATTTACTATTCAGTTTGATTCACACTGTTTGCCATTGAAAGGCTTGCCAAAGGTCTAGTCCAAGTGAGTTATGAGGGAAATTTAACATATGCCGAAGTTGTTTGTAACGACGGTGATACTTTGAGTCTTCTGTGATGCTTAGTGGCCTTAAAGGGCCGATCGCATTTCTTGGACTAAAATAACACGCATTTTCTGTTTGAGTTGTTAATGATCTTTAATGATTTTTTTAGATCTTCATGTACGTCTAACAACGTACCTAATAGAGTGACAAAAAAATGATTTTTGCAATCAACCATAAATCTATTGAGAACACTACTTAATCTACTGTTGTTTGTTAACGATGATGCGTAAAAGTAGATAGTTTTTGGTGGGGCCTTTCTTTGTTCTGAAGTGGATGGATACTCAAGGTTAAATCTTTGGCTACAGCTATCCAATCCCAGGTTTGGCACAGTTGATGTTCCAACTAATCTTTGAGTGATTGCAAATTTGCATGTAATAGGAGGGGTTCAAGAAGGGAGAGTTTCCTCACATTGTGCTGTTCACAATGTTGGAATATCACCTTTTGGTTTTTAGATGTACCTATTTTATCTATGGAATTCCAGCATGATGCTCTTCTCCCTCTTTTCATGCTTTTCATGAACCACCACCCGAGTTCTTTAATTTGAATAGGTGCAAAAGTTCTCTAGCATGGTATCTTGGAGCCTTGTTTGAAACTTGTTGAGGCTTACTACTTGAGTCCCATTAAAAGCCTCAAACTTTATGTCTCAAGTACGATCTATGAGGCTACACCTTGATTATTGAGGCCTCAAGGTGACTAATGTAGGTAGGTGTTCACGTTTTTATCTTGTATTTATTGGCATTTTAGAACGGAATTTTATTGCTTTTTTTATTTTTATTTTTATTTTCTACTTATACATGAAAGGGAAATGGGAAGGGGAAGAAACCATTGCAAGTAGAGGATGATGTCAAATAATAAGAAAGGAATGACAGTGCCATGATGATAGGAGAATCAAATGTGTTGATGATTCCCTTAAAGATTCTATTAGTAGAGAGGATATAGGAGAATTTTGGATTATTTTTATTTCTAAGTTCTAACGATACATTACCATTTATTACATTATCACTAATTTGAGAACTTATTACCTTTATACTTTATTGATCTATTTCTTGTTTGTTTAGAGTTAGAATTTTCATTTTGTTAACTTGTTTTATTATAGATTTTTAAGATGGTTTATGGTTCATTATGAGCGTATTTTTATATTCTTTTAAGTTATTTTATTGGTTTGTCTTTATACTTACGCCTCGAAAGTTCTCAAGGCCTTACATATGTAAAATGCCTTGGTACCCAATTGAGCATTTTTAAAAATTGTTAGGGAGAACTGATGTAACTAGCTGTGGCGATATCTAATTTGAGATGATAAAATATACATAGAAAGCATTGTTGGGTAAATTAATTAGAATTCTCTTGCTCTATCATGCAGTATTTGTGTATGAGGTATTGATTAGTCCTTTTCTTAGCTTTCGGACATTAGATTTTATTTGATTTTGTGATGTTTCTTTGTTGCTTTGATGGTGTATCTGTATTTTTTTGATTACTGTTATTAAAAGACTAGTGAATAATAATTTCCTCTTTCTGTGACCTGTATTTCTTATGATGCAGTGTCAGGTAAAATTTAAGCATTTTAATCAATTCATTCTTTAATTGTTCAGGATGCGTAAAATGGTGTTTGGATGACATTGGAACTACATTCGGGCAATGACTTCAAGCATGTTGTCGGGAGAGCGAAGGTACATAATGGTCTTTCATTGGGAAAATATTTCGGGGTTGTTTGAGCCCCATTTTTTTCAAAAAAAAATGCATTTTGCAATAGTGTTATGAAGGAGAATGTGTGGCCAAAAGATAAGGAAAAGTTATGAGTTTGTGTGTAATATTATTTTATTGAAAAATGTGTGGTTGAAATGGGTCAAATCATTGTAGAAGAATGCATTTTGATGAAAAAAATGGGGCTCAAACAAGGGCTTCATCTCTTTGTTCTTTTTTACTGATGCTCCTCCCAACATATTGCGGGATTATGACTAACTGATGGATGGATCTTTCTTTTCTTGAAGTTATACGCTCACAATTCTAATTTTGTTGACATGTTTTGATCGTGTGAAGCATGGAACAAACTGTTTAATTGAGAAGCGCTAGGAGAATTTTGTCAGCTTGCTTTTGTTACAGCAAAAATAACTTGTTATGATATTCTGAGAATGCAGTTATAAGTGTTGGATTAGTCATCTTTTAACATCATTTTTCCAATGATACTATCGGGGGCATGTTCTTTTCTATTCAACATTAGCATACTGGTATGCGATAGATTTCATCTGCCGTCATTGCTCTGTCTAAAATCAGTTTGCATTTGTTTTTAGTGGAAAGGTTGGTTTGGTGACCCTATGGATGCCGTTGAGCATTGACTTTTGGTCTTGCTGTTGTTGTTCTTATTATTATTGTTTTTATTAATAATAATAATTATTATTTATTTGATAAATTCCCAACATTTTATAACTGCCCTGCCTCACCTCTACAGCAAAAATAAAAAAAAACCAACTAATATTGCTGAATATTAAGGCAAAACTGGACGCAGAAAAGATTGGTAGGATGTGCACCACTAACTATTACCTCATGTATTTGGAATTTGATTTAAGCATATGAGTTTCTTTGTTATTATTAGAGTAGTTATTATTCTCATGGTGGGGGGCTGGAGGAAGGAGTTAATCATAAAGTAATGCTAGTTCTTCCTTATATCACTGGCTGAATATGCTCATAAAAGTAACCAAGAATACACTTTTGTTAGTAATTATTGCTGCATCATGACTTCTGCTTCTCCTTCTTCCCTCTTTTCCTTGAGAAGCAATTTGGAAGACAAGGACCAAGAGAAGTTCCTTTCTTCACTTGGGAGGTTAGTCATGGCTCTCATGAGGATATACTTGGGAAGATCTTGAAAAAGCGGGGATAATATTATAGGTGTTTCTTGTGTGAGGAGGCTGGCGAAAATGCGAAACAACTTTTTACATGTACTAAGATGACTTATGAGTTATGGCCATTTTGTTCTACAGCACTGGAGGATTGATTTTCATGCTAAAGACCACAAGAAAAATCTTAAAATAAAAGGCAGAAATAAGGTTGGCGTTTTTATGTTGTCAGTGAAAGTATAGAACACTTCTTTTTTAATAGATCAAGATGCTTTGAGAAAGGCCATGAAAGTACTCTGTGATGTTGATATATATAATATATACAACTAAAAGAAAAGCAGAAAGGGGGTAAAGATTCTATATACGGTTGGTCCTTGAACATTGGAATGAGGGTTACCACAGCTTGGACCTAGACCAAAATGTTAGGGGGCTGACATTTTAAAAAAAGTCAATTAATGAACAGTACTCGCGTATGTTGTCTGCACTCTCCTTCTCCAAATGATATATTTCTACTTTTGTGAAAACTCAAATCTTCATTTCATCAACAGAAATGGAAAAAGAAAAAACAAATTATCAATGGGGTGGACTATATATGATTTGAGGTGGGAAAGTAACCAAAAAATAAAAATAAAAAATCATTGGGTGACCTTTGCCGGGCTAGGAAGCAAGGGTCCGCCACTGGGTTACCATATAGTTTACCAGCTGGCAGGAAATAATTGGGAACTCTAAGGTTCAAACATGCAGATCTTTCTAAGACTGAAGTTCTGGTTATGTATTATTTGCTTATTCTTTGAGTTTATCTTGTACCTTCTTGGGTTTGCTGTTTGTTGACGATTGCCCTGCTTTTTATTCTTATTAGTTATATATAAAAACAATGCAATTTCACTTACTCTTTTGGTTTATATGCTCTGGACAGCTGCAAATATTTAACCTATTGTTAGTATAGTATCTTTCTTGTGAATACGGCTCCTAAAGATTTCATTTCTAGATTGATAAGATCTGGTAAAACATTTGGTGACTGGGTTTTGTATTGACATATTAGCAAAACTACAGTTGTCATTTGGTCGTCTTATGTTATTTTCTTGTTTTAGGTGGGGTCCTACTTCTGCAAGAAGGGGTAGCATGACTAGTTTGGGGAAAGTTGCAGTTCCAAAACCTTTGAACTTACCCAGTCAAAGGTGCTTGTTCTTAGACAGAAATATTTAAGGTCTGCTTTCTGAATTTTTGTGGATTGCTTTCTTACATTTTGTATGATTTGTTTGAAGGCTGGAAAATCATGGGCTGGATCCTAAAGTGGAAATTGTTCCCAAGTGAGTATGATTACCTTTTTACTGCTGTGTTCCCCACAATAATTTTTCAATCTTTTTCTTTCGATGAAGATGGCTAGGTGCATAACTTTCCTGTTATGAGTGCTACATCATGTAGTACAAGTGTCAAATTTGTTGGACTTTTAATGTATTATTTATTTATTCTGTATTCTACTTTTTATGCATTGAATTGATCCAGTCCTTTCTTCCTCCGTAGGGGCACTCTTAGCTGGGGAAGCCGCTCTTCTTCCTCAGTTTCTAATCCATGGGGTACCTCTACAATGTCTCCAAATGCTGATGGTGGTACCTGTTCACCTAGTCATCTCAGTGGTCGCCCTTCATCTGGAGGAAGTGGAACTCGACCATCAACCGCTGGTAGTGATAAAACACATGAACCAACTGATAGTGCATGGTCTTCAAATTCTAGACCTTCTTCTGCTTCTGGGGTATTGTCATCAAATCACACTTCAGTGACATCATTGCGTCCTAGAAGTGCAGAAACCAGACCTAATAGCTCACATCTCTCGAGGTTCGCAGAACCTGTCTCTGACAGTTCGGTGGCTTGGGGTCCAAGTAGTACTGCAGAGAGATCGGTAATAATTCTGTAGCTGAGATATTTAAGATGTATTTTGAACCAGCTTATTACATCTTGAGCTTGGCTTGAAAATTGAATTTACTTTATTGCAAGCCCGGAGGTGGCTAACTTGCAAGTGTTTAATTTTTTAATAAATTAATCGAATTGTTTATATAAAATATCTGATTATGCATATGAATTATTTGGTATTATAGCATATAATTTAATTGTATTGTCATGTTAAATATAATATATAAATGAATATATATCTCCCATTTCTAATGTCCTAAGCTTTAAATGAGATGATTCCATATCGTATTAAAAGAATCAAAGGTCTGGTTTTGAAGTCTGTCACCAATTCACGAAAAATTGCGTGCATGTTAGTCATTTAATAAAAAAAATGAATCTGGCCTTGTGTGTGAGGGGCCTGTTGAAGACAAAATAAATGAATAACTTTCTCCACTCTATCACCTTATCTTTAGAAGAGGTATTTCATTAAATCACGTGTGAATTTCTAGCTCTTTCCCTGGCTTAATTTCGTCTCAAATTGAGATTTTATATATTTGAACTCAAACTAAGCTTCAGTTTCAGCTCCACTCTTTTGCACCCTTACTCCCTACTAGCTCATATCAACCTGATGAGGCTGCTGCATAATTTTGTCTTCTTTTTCTCTCTTTCTGCATGTTTATCCTAGTTCAGTTTGTACTAATAATAGAATTGCATAACCTCTTTAAGGGCTGAGTGTCTCAGTGCATTTGCAGGGAGTGAAGTGCTCCAAGGAAGACGGGTTCTCTTTGAGTTCTGGGGATTTTCCAACACTTGGTTCAGATAGAGACGATGGGAAGAATTCTGAATTGCAAGGTTGGTGTATGCTTATAGATTTACCATACCATTGCCATTTCCAATGCTTCTCATCCAGTGTTGCATTTGCTTCTTGGTTGTCACCAGGGTTGTGAGTTATGTGACTTTATAGAGCCAAGACCAAAAGTATTCCTTGGTACTTTCTTCAGTTCTAAATTAACTGAGCGGGGTCGTTTGCTTACAGATAATTCAATAGTTTTACAGATGTATGCTAAACACTTGTACTTTATATGTCCTGCACTATGGCAATTTATTAGGTTTTTGAAATGAAAATTATCAGTATAGGTTCAGTGTTTCCGCGTTTCCTTTGATGTGTCGTACTATTTTATACCTCTACCAGTTCCTGGAAGAATGTTTATCATGAATTATTTGAAATATTTTTTCTATACTTTAACTATCTAGCTTACTAAATAAATATTGTCCCCCTTATTTCTGTAGTGTGACTTGTGCGTGCGTGCGTGCAAGTGCATTTTGAGAACATTGTGTGATACTTAACATGATTGACGTAAATACATGTATTCTGATTGTGTAGTCTATAATCCATGACAGATCATGGCCATGGCCGTCCTAGCTCAGCTTCTGGCAGAATAGCTCAGACAAAAGAGAAAACCACATCTCAGGCTGGTGTGTATACATTTGTATTTTGAGATTAGAAGTTATATTCATTTATCAATAATAGCTTTGGTTCTTGAATGTCAGATGATGCTTCTTTGAGTTTGGATGTCAACAGTGGAACTGTTAAGACATTGAAGAGAGATGGTTCCAGAAGTGCAGAGAATGACATCCATCCCAACATGGAGAAGTGGCAAGGGAAGCCACGACATCATTTCAATGCTAATGTTCCCTCTCAGAATTTTGATGCATGGCATGGTCCTCCTATAAATGCTCCAGCTGGTGTTTGGTATAGGGGTCCTCCTGGGGGACCCCCATTTGGACGCCACATTGCTCCCAGTGGCTTTTTTATGGAACCATTCCCTTACTATCGTCCCCAAATTCCACCTCCAGCTTTAACAGGTCCACAGCCAGTTCTTTCACCAGGGACCAATCTTCGAGGACCCCATCCAAAAAATGGAGATATATATAGGCCTCAGATGCCTGATGCCTTTGCACGTCCAAGTATGCCATTTCGGCCTGGTTTTTACCCTGGACCAATGGCTTATGAGGGTTATTATGGACCCCCAATGGGCTATTGCAACACCAATGAACAAGAAGTTACACATATGGGAATGGCAGTGGGCCCCCCAGTTTATAATAGATATTCAGTGCCGAGTACTCCTGATCATGGAAAGTCCCATGGCAGAGCTGGTGGGCATAGTTCTAGTGGTAAAGAATTGCCAGAACAAGTGGAAGCTGCTCATTTAGATACTAATCAAGTATCACACAAAGTTCTTTTAAAGCACTATGATGAATGGGATGAGGAGGAAGGAGAGAATTGGGAATGCAATGATTCATCCAGTGCCTCCTCAAGCGCTGGAAAAGGTGGCCAACCTGTGATGTCATCTCGCAAGAATGAGAGTGGGGCTGATAATGACACAAGAGATGTACACCCCAAGAGGACACTGATTGGTGAGAACTGTTGCCCCAGTTTTAACTATGGAGGTCATTCTTCAGGCGTTGTCAAAGTCAAGTCACTTGAAGGTATGGGCAATATGAACGTAGTCAATGACAGTGATACTAAGAAATCAGAAATTTCATCATCTTTTCCTCCAGATCCAGAAATACCGAAGCAATCCATGGGTATTGAGGGAGGTTTATCTTTGCCAGCTACGACAAAAGGGTCAGATTTGATGCAGAAAATTGAAGCTTTAAATGCAAAAGCCCGTGCTTCTGATGGACGATTAGATGTTCCCTATTCTTCTAGTAGGGTAGAGCAGAGGAATAGGTCTCAAGTTGTTGATGCTAGGATTAGTAATTCTTCTGTTGAAGTTGGTAACACTGGTGATGGATTTTTTGAAAGGACTCCTGCCTCCAATGAAGTCCGTGTTCCAGCAGGGGATAAGATGTCTCAACCAACAACTGTTTCGTCAAGGTGTGATGAAAATATGCTTCAGCTCTTTGTCACACTCGTGTTTATTTCTACACAACTCATTTCAAATTTTGCAGGAGAACTTATCATGGTGGACAAGGTAGAATTGACCATCGTGGTAAAGGAAAGTTCACCAGTCAGCATGCTGATGAGTGGCAAAAGAAGCCTCCAACTGCGGAATCTTCTAGCATGATTGTAGCTTCAAATGTTGACCCTAAATCTAATATTCATGGAAGTGGCCATAATTTTGTGGTAGAAGCTGCTCCAATTCCTTTGATCAATCTCTCAGGGAAAGAGGGAGAATCTTTGACAGAACTAAATGATTCAGCTGAGAATCAGGCACAGGTGATATATTATAAGTTTATGAATTATATTTCCCCAAGTTAAAACTTATTTTTCTGTTTAAACGTGAGTTCATGTATTATCAGCGTGCAAAGATGACAGAACTAGCAAAGCAACGTGCCTTGCAACTACAGAAGGAAGAAGAAGAAAGGATGAGGGAGCAGAAGGCCAAGGTTTTTGCTAAATTGGAAGAATTGAATCGGCGAACACATGCAGGTAAAGCTGAGACTCGGCAGGATGACAAGACTCAGGCAGTTGGTGCCGTCCCACATGAGCAAGGAGAAGCAATTGCACTTTCTGATCCACTGGTGGTTTCATCCAAGTTTCAATCATCCAGCCCCACTTTGGCCTCAGATGCTGATTTTGTTGCTGAGGTCAGAGATAGCAGTGCCAGACAGACAGAAGAATCTGCTAATATGCTCAGAGATTTACCCTGGAAGAGCCCACAAACCCAATCTAGTGATGGAGGCATCTCCAGGCAGGAGTGGATGGGCAATAAGCAAAAGCAGGGTGTGCCACATAAGAATTGGAATGAAAACCAAGATTTAAATTATGCACGTGAGGCACCAAAAAGCCTTACTGATGTATCTTTGAATGATGTTAAAGCGACAGAGGTTAATTCAAGTGAAGTCAGACGTAGTAGCGAGTCAAATGCAGCCAATGTTGGTAATATCATTTCAGGGCCCCCCACGCAGCAGAGAAGGAGAAGTAACAGGACTAGCAAGAACAAACATAAACTGGACAAGGCTTCCACAATCCCAACTTTACCATCAGTAACGCCAAAGGACAATAATTTTGCGAAAGAGTCCACTGAAATTGACAAGTTCAAGACTTCTTTGCCGGGTGCTACATCTGATGGAGTGCAGGCTCCAGAGGCGCACTCATCTTTTCCTAATGAAGAAGCTGACAGCAGTGTGGGCAACCAGTGGAAACCTCACCACCACAGCAGAATGCCAAGAAATCAACAGGCAAATAGATTCATGGATAAATTTCATAGCAATGACACTGTTATGTGGGCGCCTGTGCATTCACAGAACAAAAATGAGGGTGCAGTTGAAACAAGTGAAAAATCTATACCTGAATCTTCGAGTCCAGCAAAAACTGATACTATTGCTCAGAATAGTTTGAAAAGTAAGAGGGCTGAAATGGAGAGATATGTTCCAAAGCCTGTGGCCAAGGAGCTGGCTCAGCAGGGAAGTATTCAACCCATTACATCTTCAGCCAGTCCATCTGCTTCGGATGAGGCTAGTGGGAGAGCAACACCTGGATCTGCTGGCTCTGGAAGTCTGCAACCTATCAGCTCAGCTACTGGTATTGTTGGATCTGCTTTAGAGTTCAAGGAGGGTGGTGGCCGGCTTAATAAACAGGGAAAAACACACGGAACGTGGCGCCAACGGAGTTCAACAGACTCATCACACTCGAAGGGTATGCGTGATGGGTCATCTCTTATATCTGACCCAAGCAAGGATGTGCAGAAAATAACAGACACAAGTATATTTGTGAAGTGTGAAATAAATTCAGTAAAAGCTGAAGCAAAGGCTCCGAGCAAGATCAGTGCCTCTGATACCTGGAACATGTCCGCTAGTACTGGCATAGCTGCAGTGGGCAAATCGCCTGCTGCGAAAGATCAGGGAGTAACTGGTAGAGGAAAGCAGCATTCTCCTAAGGGCCATAGTGGCATGGAAAATAATGATTATTCTGATCGCGAGAATAATATTAGAGGCGAAACTCATAGAGGCTTTGTTCAATCTGCAGCTTCTGATGTGAACCAAACCGACAGAACTATTGCTTCAAAAGAGATCCGTAGCTCAGGGGAGCGGCCTTTACATCATTGGAAACCCAAATCTCATTCAGCTAATGCTCAACATGGAAATAGAAGTTCCCAGCATAGAGTTCCTGACCGAGCGGTACATGATGAGAACAGTGATCTCAATGAACCTCAGTCTGTCTCTGGAAGCAATATGGTCGAGCCACCAAGTGTAGGGGATAATGACGAGTTCTGTAGAGAAAGGAAGCGTGTTCCATCAAGAGAATGTCCCTATTCCCCAAACCAAGTTTCTGTTGGAGCAGGTGAACCAGCTCCTGCCGCAAATGCACATGAACGCAATTTTTCCTTGGGGTTCAGGAGGAATGGGAAGCAGAGTCGGCCAGGCCATGAATCTCATGGAGATTGGACCTCAGGGCAAGATAATAGGCAACACAATATACCTGCTGTTCGGGGAAGACGGGGGCAGCATGCGCATTATGAATACCGGTCATATAAGACCGGCAAACGTGATAACCTTGATGGGCCAGCAGATGGATTGAACAATTTGGGCCCAAGATACAGGGAAAGTGGCCAGAGTAACCCAAAGCGTGGAGGAAATTTCTATGGTCCACAAGGTTGATTGATTCTAGTTAGTTGATGGAGAAGTGAATTCTGAAAATAGTTGTTTCCATGATTGTTTGTTGAGGGCAGCCATCCATAGAATGTGTCGTGGCTTTGATTAGGCAAGTTTTCAGGTATGGACAGCTTAGTTTATTACTATGTTTAAACTTTATTTACTACAGAATCAGCTAATTTGTTGACTGATAGCACACGTGCTTTGGACAGGAATAGGACCGGGGATCTGGTACACCGTCCTAGGTGGAATGTTGCTTGTTTATGCGAGGAAATCATTTGATTTTTTCCACTTACCAATTGTAAGTCATTCGGATATTGAAATTTGGTTTCGGTTTATAAGCTGAGGAGGGTATTTGGTAGTAGTGCAAATGCAATTGCCTCCCTGTATAGTAACATTCCAAAGAATGAACTTGGAAGGTATTTTGTTATTTTTACCAGATTTTATTGTAACTTCCTTAATTTTAGCACGTTTAAGTGGTTTTGTTTCTGGTCGTGATCCATTTCTGGTGTTCTGGGTTATGATATCTATTTGGTCAAGGCAAAATAGTGATATAGATGATGGAAGGGGCTGCAGCTGTAGCCTGGCTCGAAATTGCCTGTGAGATTGCTTGTGTTGAGTCAATAAGGACATGCTTGTTACATCGTTTAAGATATTTTCCTCTTTCGATGTTTAATCTATTATCGTGTCAGGGTGTGTGTATTTTTCGACGTTTTTGCTTTTGATTGGTGACGTTCAGTTGTGTTGTGGGGATTAAAATACATAAAAATGTGGTTTGAAGATGTTTATATGAATAATTAGTCGTACAAGATTTTGTATGTATAATTTGTAATTTCTTTCAAATTACGGGGACTGGCGATTCAAAATAGATCTATGCCCCAACTATCACAGATTATACTTAATTAAGCACATTTTGATATAACTTATTAGTAAACTTGTACATTAATTTGAAAGAATTGAAAGATGATCATTTGCTTACATCGTTTTTAAATTTTTTTTGTTTTTCATATTCAATCTTGACTATACTTCTCAAGAAATTTACGATTTTTATCAATAAATTAACAAAAATACTTCATTATTTTTTATTCAAATTTATTAAAAATTTAACTTTTTTAGCTAAATCAAACTAAGGTTAGATTATATAATCGTGTGAATTGGCTTCGTTCTAGTAAAGATGAATCGAGTGCGTCTATATGAGATTGTATTTTACTCGATGCATTTTTGGCAAGATCCTTGTCACTTGAATTGTATGAACATTGAAATTGTTGTCTTATATTATTGATTAAAAAGATAATTAAATATGAATTAAAGGAAAGCAGATTGTATCGAATCAGTTTCGTCTAATTTTCTAGACTACGACAAACCTTAAGAGCTTGTTCAGCAATGCTTAGAAAATGAGGAGTAACCATCTTTATATTTATTGGTATTGGCATATGTTTATTTTTTTCTTTATTTTCAATTTAAAAATTAGCATTTCGTATTTCTCTTATTTATTTTATAATATATTTACTTAAGAATTTCGATAAATTAAATTTAACAAATAATTTTCCAATTTATTTTTCTTGTTATTAAATTGTGAACAAGAAGAAAATTTCCCATAATTTCATTTTGTGGTACGAGTATCAGAATGGAAAAAGGTCCATCGAAAAACCCTGATTTCACCATATTTACGATTACTTTCCTCTATCCAAATCTTCATCCTCTTCTCTCAGCAAAAAAATCTTATCTTAAAGAAATCAATCAAACGGATAAAGCTATCGGAAGAATTCCATCTATACGCGCTCCCTTATATCATTTTCACAGAATTTGTCGTATGCCCCCTCTCTGAATTTATTTTACATGTGTGTATACGTTTGCATTTATGCGTGTTTATGGATTTTCGGAAACTTCTTTGAATTGTCTCACGTTTTGTTTTGCCTGAATTCGTGATATTGCGTGTGATAATTTGGTGGGGTAAGTATTTGTGGAGTAATGCTACTTGTACATGTACAGATTGGGTTATAGATTGATTATGTGTATACGATTAACTAACTTCATTATATTTCTTTTTCTCTTTTTCCCTCTCTCTCTCTCTTCCACATTATCAATCTATCTGTAAACCAATCTGTGCACAATTATGTAAAAATAGCATGAGTGTGCGTGTGTGGATTTTCTGAAACTTTTACGAATTGGGTAGTTGGATTTTACGCAGATTTTTTTTTTCTTTTTCTGAATTGGTGATGTTACGTGGGGAATCTGGTAGGGGAAGTGATTCCCTGCAAGTTAGCGTATTTCCAGATGGCTTATTTAGTTAAATAACATATTTTCCTCTTGACATTTTGTTTGTTTTATGCAATTATAACGCTTTGATTTTATTTATAAACTGGTATATGATTTTTACATTGTGTCAGCTGTGATTGCTATTGGGAACTTTTGTTATTTGATTTAGTTCTTGTTTACATGAATGAGTTTTTTTAAGGTTTTCCTAATTTTCCTTTTGGGATTACAGGTAGTGAGGAAAATGCGAATTTAGTACTGTAAATGAGTGCGTACAGGAGGTGTAGACAATGGCATTAACAGCCCATCATTTGCAGGTAATGGGAACATTGGCGATTACCTTTTGATGGAAGCTGATAATATTTGCCTTTTCTAAAGCTGCAAGTGTAAAGCTGCAAGTGTAAAGCTGACTTTCTGCTATTGTATTTTAAATGTTTGTACGATGCTCTAGTTTGGTTAGGTCGAGACAGTTGTTTTATTGGTTTATAAAGTATCATATAAGTTTAAGTTTCATGTGATTTTAATCTCATCCGATATTGTTTATGATCAGCCTTTGCATATCCAAAATGCCTGCAGGTGGTTGTTTTTTTTATTCTCAACTCTATTATGCTATCAAGGTCAAAACTTGAAATGTAATTCAATTCTCACCACAAGATTTAGTATGTTAATCATTGTTTATAATGTAATAGCATGAGGGAATGAGATTTTGACGTTGATTTTCATTGAAAAATTCAAAGCTAAAGGTCAAGCCCATCAAATTGGTGGGAAGAGTGATTACAAGCTAGCACAATGTCATTTTTCCCCTTGTTATTAATCTTCTGTTGCGAAGAAGACACCTGCAAGGATTGCATCTTCTATACGAGACTCGAGACTGAGTTAGATGTTTTAAGGTTGACAAGAAAAATTTACTGCAGAGGCACCATAGTTTAGGTCTTCTGAAATCAGAAGTATCTCCTGAAATTGAGATCAGGGCATATGCTGTGTGTGTAAAAATAGTGTCCCTTGGCATGAGCCATGAAGTGTATGCTCCAGCCTCCAAGCCTAAAAGCCGTGTGTCCCTGTCATTGCTCCCCGGAGATTCTCGATCGGCAGCCTTGTGATGCATTTGGGAACTCTTATTAAAACACTGGTGGTGATACAGGAATGATCATTTGATATTTTCTAAATGGCCTATAGTCACGAACCAAGACTGAAGTACCATTCTCTAAAATTGCAGAATCTAATGTGTGTAATGGAGTCTGCATAAGGTCATTTTCTGAAAATGGACAATGTAGTTTAGTAGTCATGTCCGCTCTTACTTCAGATCTTTAGTAGAACCTGTGCAGAGCTCAATCCCAAGGAAGATGGTGTGGCAATGTAAATTGCATCCACGGGTGGCTTTTTTATTGTGGATTGATGTGCGGAGGCGAGCGTTAACTGTAGATAATCTTCGAAGACGTAGTTTAGTAGTCATGTTTTGGTTGTATTTACCTTTGCCAAAGTCACAATGCTTTTCTGATATATGGCACTTAATGACTTTTATTTATGGAGGGCAGACTGGGTGTTTGCGCGCTCACACACACGTGTGAAAGAGCTGCTGTTGTATCTATTTCAACAGTGTTCTGATATTCATTCCCTGTTGTTTTACTATAAGTTAAGAAATCACTTCCTTAAACAAAACAACACACGTGTTCTGAATTAGCACAATAAATCCATGACATCCATATGTGTTTCTCGTCATGACATTTGCAGGAACCGCATGCAGATTTTGTAATAGTTTTAGACTTTGCAATTGAGTTTAAGATTGTTATCTGATACCTCTGAATGTTTTGACGATACGGTGCTTGTAAAATCTGAGTCATGATAAAATG